CAAGTCCTCAGACTTCCTTTTCAAGGGCTGATTCCCAAGTACTACGGATCTCACTGAAACGGGCGCATCTGAAGAATACATACTCCGAGTCTTCATCTACTCCTATGCAGGTTGGGCACTCCGGGGAATCCTCATGTTTAAATTTATGAAGATACGCCCTGAAGCACCCATGTCCCGAAAGCAACTGCGTCAGGTAGTAATTGACCTCTCCATGATTACGACTAACCCAGGTATCCACCTTTGGGATCAGACGGTGAGTCGATCTCCCTTTGGAAGATGAATTCCACTTCATCCGCCATCGGCGCATGCTGTTCCATCTCTCTTCTATTTTGAGTTCTGCGATACTCGTTGTTTCCGTTCTTCTCCGCTGATACAGAGACTTTTGTTCTTCGTCCAGTTTTTCTATAGGGAGCATTCCAGCAATTACACACACTGCATCCTCAGATACTGTGCGGTATGTGCTCGCAACTCGCAAAGCACTTAGTCGATAGACAGGTGCTACTTTCTCATGATCTACGTGATCATGGACGTAATCACTGATGCCGGTAAAGCTCTTCTCTGCTTCGGTGCTCCCACATTTGGCATGAGCTCGGATAGAGCAGTTCTAACTCCCGACGCCTTGGTACTCGCATGCTCTGCTTGCTATTTGAAGCTTAGGCGGGCATCGATCATCACTCCCAAGTATCGAATGAACGGCTGAGAAGTGAGCTCGTACTCGCCGACTTGAAGCTTCATCGTTTCCACCTGCTTTCTGCTGGTAATCAGTACGGCTTCTGTCTTCTGCTCCGCTAGTTTCAAGCCGACTGTGTTCATTCACCAATATATCTAAACAAAGATTATGTCAAAGAGAAGATTGATCCCCTCCAGGTATTTTGCCACGATGACTACGGCTACATCGTCTGCGAATGCTACGAGTCTCGCCCCTCCTGGCAGTTTGAGCTTCAGTAGTCCATCATACATAATGTTGCACAGGAGAGGGCCCAATACCGAGCTCTGAGATACTCCCCCAGTAACTCTGTACTGTTTGGGGCCCGTCTCGGTATCATACATGAGGATTCTGTCGGTGAAGTAACTTCCGACCATCCTCCGCAAGTATCTTGGTACGTTCATCCTGTCAAGGGCCTCCATGATACAGTCCCACTTGGCTGAGTTGGAGGCATTCTTAATGTCCACTGTTGCCACTAGACAGTACTTCTTTGTTCTTCCCTTTCATCCAGTCCCCGAGATCGCCTCCTTGGCGGTACTGACGACGAGGTCAATGGCATCGAGTGTGGAGCGACCTCTCAATACGATGTTGGGGATTCCATTAAGGCCACGAGCTTTGGTGTTCCCCACTCTGCTGCATGCTTCTTCAAGTTGTTCTTCCGTCGCTGGTGAGATCAATGCAGCCTCCCATAGTTCTGTGAAGTGACGGAGCTCCGGTTGTCGAGGGAACAATACCGCTACAATCCTCGCCAACAGCTCAGGGCACATCGGGGATGGCACAGACTGGCTCCTCAGCCGTGTCAGGACCACCTTATACGGCCTGCCCTACGTATCAACTTCAACTTCGTCGAGGAGTCCGTTCCAGCATTTCTTCTTGTTGCAATTGATCGCTTTGTTGAGCTCTCGACGTGCAGTCTTGTACTTCTTATCCAGTTACTCGTATGTTGGCTTGTTTCGGCTTAGCTATGCATTTCTTCTCGCTTTCACGCACCCCCTGCGGAGGGCCGCAATTGCATCATTCCACCAGTATATCGCAGGGCGACGATTACCACTACGTTTTCGAGACATAGAAGCATCACAGGCCTTGGTTATTTTCCTCATGAGATGTTCGGCTTTTTCTGCAGCACTATTGCCACTGATCGGATGATCATCCACTGCCACTAGGAATGAGCTGGGATCGAAGGCACTCCCCTTCCAGCCGATTTCGTTGGTCTTCTTAGATGTTGATCTGATCCTTCGATCAGCGAATACCTCCCGAAAAATTACTCGATGATCACTGGCGGTGTAGGTGTCTATCACCTCCCAAGACCAATTTCCTCTTGCGAGGTTGCTGCTTACAAATGTGAGATTGACGATTGAGCTTTTCTCTCCTCTTATAAACGTGGGTTCGACACCATTGTTTAGTAGGACGACGTCCAGACTAGACATGGCCTCCAATATTGCTTGCCCCCTTGTTTTGGTATCTTTGCTGCCCCAGTCGACTGCACAAGCGTTGAAGTCTCCAGCTATTGCCACGGAAAAGTGCTGCTCCGCGTCCTCGGTCTGTCTGTGCAGGAAGTCCGTGAACTCGTCAAACGTCAGGCTCGGTGAAATGTAGTAGTTGTAAAAGTGGATTCCTTCCAGCTTAGTTACCACGAAGCCAGCCTCCTCAGTATTCGCAACACTCTGGAATGGGAACTTGCCACAAGACCAGATAGCGGCCTTGCCACTTTTATCCGTCTCCCAAAGTTGGGTGTCCAGATGTCTGTATGGCTCCGAGATAATCACTAGATCTATCTTTAGCTCCCACACCGACTGCATAAGCAGATCGTGTGCGGCCTTACAATGGTTGAGGTTGAGCTGTAGTATCCACATTACAGTTTGTGGTTCATCTTCTGGAGTGCTTCCCTGAAGACAGGGCATCTGCTACTACCAGCGATATCAGCACAATTCTTCGTTTGGTCTTTCTCGGCACACAAGGCAAAACGAGCTTCCTTTCCACAGGCAGCAGCTTTGTGGCCAGCTTCTCCACACTTTGTAGCGAGCTTTGCTCGGTCCATTTTACTCTTGCACTTGATGGCGAGATGTCCAGCACTTGAAGCACTTGACCAGTCCCTCCACCCTTCGGATGTGGCAGTTAACCCATCCTACGCGAATCTTACCTCGTTCGCCCAAGACTTTCTTCGCAACCGCTGCCGCCACCGTCACCGATGCCGTCTGGGTACCTCCAAAGACTGAATTTGGCAATCCACCCCAGCTGTGAGTGGTAGGGCCTTGACTACCGCCTCCTTCGTGGTCAGCTCATCAAGATCCTTGATCTCGAAGTCTCCTTGTTGTCCTTTACTAAGGACATCAGCATCATCTCCTAGAAGTTCGGCTATCGTTTTGCGTATGCTCTCAGCCTTGTCATCTTCGTCCTTTGCCAGGATGATCAGCATATCTTCCGTGGTCGTTCTGCGGATCTTGTCAACGCAATCACGAACCTGCTCGGAAGGTATCTGCTGCTTCAGTACTTTGAGTATCTCCGAGTACTGCTGCTTGTCCTTCGGGCCAACAATCATTGCGTTTGGCCTCGCCGCTGATTTCCCCTATTTCTTCTGCTTCTCCTTTTTCTTGGGCGGCTTCCCTGGTAGCTTCGGTTGCTGCCGCTCCCTTCTACTCTTGACCTGCTCCCAGTGAGAGGACTTTGCAGGTGGATTCTCCCTCTCTTGCTTCGGATGTGAGCGGCCTCCTGCTCTTCCCTTTTCTTCTTCTTGAGGTCCCTGATGTCGGTCGGTGGTGATTCTCGCGACTTTCATTTCATCCTGGAAGCCTTGGCCGTATCAGAGAGAGCCAAGAATCACGCTCATCTTCAAGCTCAGAATCCATCGTCGTCACAGTGCCTTCAGAAAGCTTTCGCGATCTCCCTAAGAGTAAGGATACCGATGTCACCCGCATTGGCCTAGTCTACCGTTTGCCCGCCTAGCTGCCTGAGCCGTTTGACAGAAGTGCTGATAGAGGTCACCATCTCTCGAGCATGAGCGTTGATGCTCCTCTTCTCCTTCATGTAGGTGATCAGGTCAGCTATGAGATGTTCATGCCAATACCACATCTTCTTCAATGTGACCGTGTCACTTGACCCAGGTTTTGGAATCACGTTGTCCTGATTTTTATCTTCATTGTGTACGTTTAGTTTATTATTCATTATGTTCCCACGAGTACCTAGGGAAGTATAACTGTCCACTCCAAACAGAGCCCCGGCTGTTGGAGTAAGGCCACTGAATACAACAGGGGTGGGAGCTGGTGCCCCAGGGACCACCGTTTGTGACGCCAACTATCCTTGACGCCTTCCAGAACTCGGCACGGTGAACACCTTGACATTGGGGGGAAGCTGTTGTAGGGAGCCCACCTTGCATGCCTCTTTTGGAGTTGGGCTTCTCTCCCAAGATGTCCTGAAAAGGACACGCCTCGGCTTGAACTGCTTCTTAGTTTGGGTACATTCCTTTAGCCCCTCCACCGTCGACAAGGTCCTGCAGTTTGTAAGAGGGATGTGAGTGTGTTTTTTTCCCTTCCGAGATTTTGGGGCGAAATGTACCGAACCGTACGATAGTGGATAGTAACATGACGGTTACGGTCACACCCTGTATGTGGCACTCATCCACTAAAACCACTTGACCCCGAGAATTCGTTGACCCTACTTTCCCTCGCGGCATCACCATTAAGTATTACTTCGCCAGGGAGGTCTCAGCTATTTGCTCTTCCTCGTTGTTTAAGCCCCTTCATTCCCCTGTCCTACTAAGATGTTGTGTGAGGGTAGGAGGTTCTAACAGGTTTTGCATCTATTCTACAGTTTTGCGCTTGCGCTCCTCATTTCTGAGCTCCTTCATGACTTCGGCCGCAAAGTTGCTCGTTGTGTCCCAGGCTGCCTGCGATGACAGCAAAACTTCCATCACGTTCCCAGGTAAGACCCGCCTTCCTAGTGCAGTCTCCCAGGTACTCCGGATCTCGCTGAACCGTGGGCACGTGAAAAGCACGTGCTCCGCGTCCTCATCCAGGTCGGCGGAGAGACCTGGATGCGACGATAGTAGCGCTCGTCTCCTCTGATTAGGGTGTCCTACGTTGGGCATTCGCCGCGTCCTCATCCAGGGCATGCAGGTCGGGCATTCCGGGGTATCCTCATGTTCGAATTTATGAAGATTGGCCCGGAAGCACCCATGTCCCGACAGCATCTGTGTGAGATAATAATTGATTTCTCTATGGTCGCGATTCAGCCAGACATCCACCTTCGGGATCAGACGATGAGTCCATCTCCCTTTGGTGGAGTTATCCCACTTCAGCTACCATCGTTTTAAGCTGTTTCGCCTCTCTTCTATCGCCAGTTCTTCGGGACTCAGTACTTCAGATCTCTTCCGCCGGTACAGAGATCTTTGTTCCTTGGCTAGTACTTCAATGGGCAACATCCCGGCGAAAACACACACTGCATCCTCGGACACAGTGCGGTATGCACTGGCAACTCTGAGGGCGCTCAGTCGGTAGACTGGTGCCACATTCCGCTGTGATTCCTGCGTCTGCAAAGCGCCAGCCCAGGTGGCAATGCCATACGTGAGCACCGACATGAACAGCGACGATAGTAGCGCTCGTCTTCTCTGCTTAGGGCGTCCTACGTTGGGCATGAGGCGCGATAGGGACGCTCTGACCCCAGGCGCCTTCATGCCCACGTGCTCTGCTTGCTGCTTCAAGTTGAGTCGGGCATCGATCATTACCCCCAAATACCGAATGGACGGCTGCGAAGTGAGTTCGTAATTTCCGGTTTGCAGCGTGATTGTCTCGATCTTCTTCCTGCTTGTGATCAACATGGCCTCCGTTTTGTGTTGCGCCAACTTCAGGCCTACTGTATCCATCCAGCGGCGGATCGTCTCGAAAGTCATATCAAGTGCAAAGTTGATCTCCTCCAGGTGTTTCCCCATAATGACTACGGCCAGGTCATCCGCAAATGCCACAAGTTTCACATCCTGTGGCAATGTCAGCGTCAGCAGCCCATCGTACAGAGGGGACGATACGATGACGCTTCGTCCGGTGGTTTCTTCCCTTTTGGGAGCAATACTAGCCTCTACTGCTTCCACTTGGCAGGGAAAGTACCTTCCTTGAGACACTCGTTATACACGCCCAGGAACGGTGTTGGCATCGTGCGGATGGCTGCTTTCAGCGCAATGTTAGGGATTCCATCTAGGTCAGGAGCCTTGGTGTTCCCCTCTCATTTGCAGGTCTCCATCAGTTCCTCTTCGGTGACTGGTGGAATGATCTCCTCCTCTCTGTACTCGGTGGTATGGTGAAGTTCTGGTTGTTGTGGGAACAATACAGTGATGATCTTCTTCAGGAGTTCAGGACAAGTCGGCGATGGCATTGGTTGACTTTTAAGCCACGTCATCACCGCCTTGTATGGCCTGCCCCACGGATCCCCTTGGACTTCGGCAAGGAGCTGTCCAAGCTTCGATGGCCTTGGTGAGCTTCTGGTGTATCTCCTTATATTTCGACTGCATCTCTTTGAAATTTGGCTTCTTTCGGGCTCGCTGTGACGTTCTCCTCGGATTGCACTCTTTACGGAGAGTGGCAATGGTATCATTCCGCCAATACATCGACGAGCGCCGATTGGCGATGCGCTTTCTGGGCATGGTGGCATCACAAGCTTCCGTCATTCTCCTCGTGAGGTCGTCCGCCTTTTCAGTAGCATTCTTGCCATTGATTGGACTCTCGCCTAGTGCAATTAAATATGAGCTAGGATCGAAGGTACTCACTTTCCAGCCAATTGCGTTGATCTTCTTGAGCGCTGGCTCGATGCTCCGGCTTTTAAATACCTCTCAGAGTATTGCACGATGGTCGCTGGCAGTTTAGATGTCGGTTAGCCTCCATGAGCAGTTTTCCCTTGCAAGGTTGCTGCTCACGAATGTAAGATCTACGATCGAGCTCGCCTTTCCCCTCATGAAGGTCGGTTCGCTGCCATTGTTCAGCAGGACAACGTCGAGGGATGACATAGCTTTTAACATGGCTTCCCTATTGTTGAAGTCCCCGGCTATTGCCACGGGAAAGTGCGGCTTCGCATCCTGAGTCAGTCTAACCAGGAATTCCGCAAACTAGGCAATAGAGAGGCTAGGTGGGGCATAGCAGCTGTAGAAGTAAATTCGATCAATCTTAGCCTTCATAAAGCAATTTTCATTACTACAGGTGGCCATCTGGAAGGGGTAGCTCTCACAAGACCAGATGACCGCCTTTCTGCTGGCGCCAGTAATCCAGGGTTGGGTGCCAAGATGTCTATATGGCTCTGAGATTATGATAAGCTCAGACGTCAACCCTCGCACTGTCTGCATGATCAGGTCGTGTGCGGCCTCACAGTGGTTGAGGTTGAGTTGTAGCACCCTCATCGTCGTTTGTTAATCAGCTTCTGAAGTGCCCCCTTATACACTGGGCATGTGTTGTATAAGGATATTTTCCCGGGTTGTTCACCCAGGAAAAATCCAAACTACTTTTTATGCCGTCTCTATCGCTCAATAGTCGGGCGCCAGCCGAACCTTCACGGGAGGTTCGACGAAAACCGGCCTCTGAGGTAAACTCGTCCACTCAGAGGACTTCTGTGGCCGGGCAAAGGGTTGCCTAGCTAGCATCAGTGTGACGCGGTAGAGTGGGCGAGGTCCACCAGGAGTATCTTATGCCAAACGTCGCCAGCCACTATTTTAGGCTGGAAATTAAGCCTCACGGCCTAATCATCCATGTAAAGTGAATTTACTCTCGTCCTGGAGGGTTTTTCACGATCTGAGTAGACTTTCTCCTCCCGAGTATTTCGACTCGGGAGTGTTTCAGAATTAAATGCAAATCAGCCGGGACTCCTCAGAGCCTGGGACACCGAGAGGCTGATCCGACCAAAGTGGAACACTGTTACCCACTTCACGACCACCCACACTCTCGGCCACCAGTTACCGCTTCGGTCATCGCACGTCACCGTCTCCGGGTACTCAAATGTCGGTACATAGTCGGGTCGACAGGGGGACGATCTCTACTCCAGACCCACGGGCCCATGCGCACGGCATTTGTTTCGCCGAGCCGGATAACGCCGGAAACAACAAAGTCGTCANTCGGTACATAGTCGGGTCGACAGGGGGACGATCTCTACTCCAGACCCACGGGCCCATGCGCACGGCATTTGTTTCGCCGAGCCGGATAACGCCGGAAACAACAAAGTCGTCACAAAGAGTTCCGAAATAACTCTTTTTTCCGTTTGTGGGGGATGCAGGAGCATCCCCCTACGTTCGCTACCATCAGTTATGCACCTGGCTGCGCTGAGCTATTCGCCCACCATTCCCGTGGCCATCTTTCAAGCCAACACCACAGTATATCCCGGAGAAATCCTTTCGACTTCTCCGCTCGAGCGTCCGCGTTCGACTAACTCAGAATCTTACTAGGGCCTTCTCCCCCGAGTCTGGATATCTCAGCGACGATAGGTCATTCCGTTACCCTATCCCCACCAATCAACCCGACGGGATCCCGGGGGCACCAGTCCTCTCATCTGGCCGATGATCCCTAGTCTACTCTGACATAGCCTATGGAATCGCCCAGTTGGACAGCCTGTACGTCTGCCCCTCTTCCCCTAGCACATGCTGGGCGAATTCCAAAATAGCGATAATCTAGTAACGTCCTCCAGACCTCCAGGGGTCGCGGTTTCACCGGTCACCGCTATGCCTTAGGTCTTTCATCGGTTTGTCGCTTAGTTCATCTAGTCGCAGCTTTCTTCAGCCGCCTCTAGATGTCGCTTCATGTCTCAGTTTTAGAGTTCACATATCTTTTTAAGGGGATTTCAACCCGTAACGAGAAAATCTCGTTACAGTTGCTACCAGTAATATGGGCGCAATTCTCCGTGTTACCTTTCTCTGTGCACTGGGCGCAACTAGGTTTCTTCTTGCAGTCCGTAGTCTTAGGGCCTGCCTCTGAACATTTGGCGCAGAGTTTGGACCGGTCCACCTTACTCCCACATTTAGCAGCGAGATGTCCATAGTGCCAGTACTTGAAGCACTTCATTGGTTTTTCCACTCTTCTTATACGGCAATTTATCCAACCTATCTTGATCTTCCCGTCCTCTCACAGGATCTTTTTCGCTGTAGTTGCTGCGAGTGTCACTGAGGCAGTCTGGGTTTCTCCATATACCTTACGCAAGGACTTGATGGTATCTGCACTGATTTTATGTTCCTCTCCAGGTGGTGCTTTCAGAGCTTCAAGTATGTTCTCTTTCGTCGTCGTTTCGTCGAGGTCTTTCATCTCGAGATCTTCTTGTGGCCCTTTATTGCGCACCTCGACCTCATCCCCGAGGAGGTCAGCGATGGTTTTATGTAGCTGGGGGGCTCCGTCGGTGGTCTTTCTACTCATTATGATCAGCATATCTCTGGTTGTCGTCCTGCGAAACTTGTCGATGCATGCACGGTCCTGGTCTATGGGGACATCTTTTTTGACTCGGGTGAGGATCTCTGAGTACTTGCTCTTGTCCTTCGGATGAATAATCAGAGCATCAGGTATAGGCATCGGTTTCCGTGGGGCCTTTTTCCCCTTTTTCTTCTGAGTCTCGAGCGGCTTCCGTGGCTGCTTTTCGAGGGGCTTCTTTTTCTTCCTCTTGTTCCCCACTTTCTGCCAATCAGGTGGTTTGGCAAGCGGCTTCACCTGTGGAACTATCTTGCCGGTTAGCTCCTGCTGCTTCAGCTTCTTCGACTTTTGGGCTTCTATCTCAGGTGAACTCTTTAAACGCTTCCTGCGTATTGCTCTACGAACATCTCCCATACTTTGGGTGAGCTGCGAGGCAGTGCTAGAGTCCTCTATCACCAAATCTTTCGTCGTTGTTTCGGAGTCCGCCCATAAGCACTGCGGCGGTAGGGTTTGCAAAGCTCGCGACGGCCCAGCGAGAGAGCATTGAGTTCTGGTGCGTGCTTCCTCCAATCCCTTGAGCCTTCTGAAGGCACTACCGATAGAAGCCACCTTGGATTTAATCTCCTTGTGGATATTTTGCTTGGGTTAGACAAACTCATGTAACTCAGGGATACCCGCATGGGAACTTTGTATTTTCTCATCACTCATCATTTTTTCTCTGGGCTGTTGAAGGGAGCCCACCCTTTGTTGTAGGCTGTTATAGGGAGCCCACTCTGCATGCTTCTTTTGGTCCGCGGGATCTATTTTATTTCACTCCAGTCTAGTGAGTCAGCAAGCTGACCCAGTTAGGAATTCCTCTATCCGCCACCTGGGGACGCGCCGCCGTAGAAGTTGGACTTCTCCACCAAGGTGCCCTGAAAAGGACAAGCCTCGGCTCGGCGGTATCTGTGTATTTGTGTGTGTGTGCGTATGTGTTTTTCCAAGGGTTTTGGAAAAAATGCTTACGCACGATAGTGGACTTTCGTCACACCCTGTTTCGGACCTGCTCCGTTAAGTATTACTTCGCAAGGGAGGTCTGAGCTATTTGCTCTTCCACAGTGTTCTCTCTAATGTACGTCCTCCAGCCCTATTAAGATGTTGGGTGTAAGCAGGAGGTTCCACTAGGTTCCTCGTTCATTTACAGCTTTGCGCTTGCGTTCTTCTCTTCTGAGCTCCTTCATGACTTATGCCGCGCAAGCGCTTTTTACGTCCCAGGCTACCTGCGATGACAGCATTGCTTCCACCAAGTCCTCAGGCAATATCTTCCTTCCCAGACTCCCAGGTATTCCGTATCTCGCTAAAGCGGGAACATACGAAGAATACGTGCTCCGCGTCTTCGTCTGCTTATATACAGGTCGAGCACTTCGGGAAATCCTCATGTTTGAATTTGTGAAAATATGCCCGAAAGTACCCATGTCCCGAAAGCATCTGTGTCAGGTAGTAATTGACTTCTCCATGGTTGCGATTTAGCCAGACATCCACCTGTGGAATCAGACGGTGAGTCCATCTCCCTTTGGTTGAGGTG